GGAAGGAATATATATATATATATATATATATATATATATATATATACTACACCTTCAGTCCGATCAATTTACCGATATATGCTTATAATCCTAACTATCTGCCAGTATGAGCTACTAGGAATATCTAACATGGCTATCATGATGTTAGATATGGAAAATCTCAAACTGATACACTGAGTTTGTTTGCATATTCTTCTTCTTCTTGTCTACCTTGAAAAAATTCATAAATTCAATATTCGATGAATGAAAAATAGTTGTAACTGATACTAAGGATTCTCTATTGTAACTGAAGTAATACTTGAAGCTATTATTATTATTATTATTATTATTTATTATCATTATTATATGCCAGTCGAATCGTCCTTCAGAATATTCCGCACGACATTTTGGGTATCTATAAAAATGGCTTGTTAACATATTGCCAACATCTCCAGTTGCTTCACTTATAATATGTGTCATTCTTATTATCTTGGACGAACTGCTATAAATTTCTGCTATCATAGAATGAAGTTGATACAACCAAAATAGAATATTTAATGTTAAGTCATATCAACCGGTATGGCTGATTTGCAAAACCATCAGTCCAGCTGCCCAAATCGTTTTTTATTTAAGAGTTAGCACCAATGTGAGAAGTAATTAAGCTAATTCCTAGACTGTTGAACACAGAGTCTTAGCTTGGTCAAAGTTAGAACAATTAAGCTATTTGGCTTGATAAACTTCATCTGTTTCTAAAATGTTGTTATTAATACCGTTTGTGCACAAAAAACAGAAACTTTGTATTCTAAAGAAGAAGAAAATTAACTGGAGGACCGGAAAAGTCAGTCGATCATGAACGACTACGCTTAGTGACTTGTCAAGGCTTAGTCATACCAAGGTCAAATGGAGTCAAGGTGGTAATGGGAGTTTATTATACTCTCATTGGTGGGTTCGTTTATCGATCACATCTCATGATACAAACAGAAAGATTAGAAGAATCATTCAAGTAGCAATAAAGCTCATCGAGGTTTGACATTATGTATGACGGTACTGTGATTAAATAGACTTTGACAATCTGAGGTCTCAGTTGATCATTCCAAGTTGAATATTTGCTCTGTTTATCCAGTTTAAAAAATTGTGCCAAAATAATACGGTTTTCATGTCATATCGCAATTAGAACGCCAAATCATTTATTAAATTTGATTTACTTCAATTTTTTCCACGCCTATGAAACATTTAAAAGATATTCTTTTTCAGGTTTACCAACATTTTCTTTTTATTTCTAGGCAAAACTGTTTACAGTCTTAGACCGAATGAAACTGATATTAGGAAAGAAATTTTCATGAATGGACCAGTTGAAGCTGGTATTTTTGTGTATATTGATTTTTTCAATTACAAATCCGGCGTTTATAAACATTTAACTGGACGAATATATACCATTCATTCAGTTCGAATAATTGGATGGGGTATAGAAAATAATATTCCTTATTGGTTGTGTGCTAATTCATGGAATGAAGATTGGGGTTTAAATGGTTACTTTAAAATTGTACGTGGATCAAATGAATGTGAAATTGAAAGTTATATTAATGCTGGTAAAGTGAACAATAAGCCTAGAGCGAATTGAAAATAATGACAAAATCATTTTTGTAACCTATTTTCACCGAATGATTTAAATTGATCAAATTATATTTAAAAATAATTCATGAAAATAAAATTTTGACTTTTATAATTTTCGAATTAAAAGGTACGAAATGAACAATGGAGTGTGAATTACTGAATTGTATGGTTTTATTTGGCGTATCTGTAAAATAAATTATAGAGAAAAGAGTATTTAATGTAATCGACGAAATATTGTTCAGTGATATCTACGCTGACTGATAAATGTGTTGTAATACATCTGCAAAATTGATAACTTTATAGATGAATAATTGGAGAGTTGTTAGTGGAACAGAAATCTGTTGAAGGCCGAATTTTAAGTCTCTACATCACACGAAACTTGTTTATTTGATTAACTTGGTGCTGATTCTTTTTAAAGTAAACTACCTTGACGGTTAAACGAATGAGAATATTTAGCTAACTCTATAGGTTGTGGAGATTGTTGAGTTACTTATTGAAATTATGAATCAATCAGTGTTAGACCACCATTAGAAACCTGAAAATACTGAACGGCCTTTTCGTCCTGATATGGGACTTAGCAGCAGTGCGCATCCACGACTCATGCAACTCACAAGATTCGGACTCAGGAACTTCATTCTTGCGTGTTAATCCCTAACCGCTGGACCATTGAGCCATTATCTGACGGTGTTAATGTCTAACTTCGATCAATTCACGGTCTTACAGAATCACCAGGACTAAACGGCCGTTCAGTGCTTCAAGGTTTGTATTAGTGGTCCAACACTGATCGATTCATGATTTCGATTGCAGTTTCGTAACTGACTAGTTTATTTTAATACATTTATTATCTAACTCCTTTAAGTAGGTCCAACCATACTTGCCAACCCGGTTAAAATGCTGGAGATTGGCTTTTCATCATTTGAACCTAACAGACAACGTGGCCATATGAGGACATTTCGAGAGGGAGAGAAAACTGTTGTACCAGGGAATCTGGGGGCAGTGTCATTTGATAGATCAAATGAAAGCCCTATATAAGACGATATTAAGATACAATAATCTATGTATTTAATAATTATATGACAAAAAGTTTAAACACTAACTAATCGTGGGACAGTTCTGAAAGCCTAACTTTTCTTAGATCATTTGTGACTTAATGTGTTAATGTTTCTAGTCAGCATCTTTTTGAATTGGTATGTGACTATCAGACACGGATAATTCATGATCTTTAGAACAATTATAATTAAACTTTGTCAAAGACGAGTGAATTAATTCATGAGAATAATACAAATAACTAAATAGCCTTCATATCATTCCATTAGACGATTAGTCCTGATATGGAATAAAATTATACTTCACAGAATAAACTAAGTAAACGAAATTCAAAGATATATTCGTGACAAATCTCCTTGAATAACCTGTTTAAAATACAAATTACCCTTCAAAATCAACTAAAGAATCTCTTCTTTACCCACTTCATACTACTAAGTAGATTTAATCATGTGAAGTAAAGTTTATTTAGTCGATTCTATTGTTGACTTAATTGAAATGATATTGAAACATGTGATCAGTTAAACTTCCTTCTAATTAATTATACAACATAAATGACAAACAAAATCAAAGTTTTCATTTAATTGAACTTAATTGTAGAATGAATAACTAACTTGTTTAATAATTAGTGGTTCATTAAACTGATACTTAAATATTGTTACACATCTCTTTTTTCAATGTTCA